TAATATTAAACAGATATTATATAGGTATTATTAATTAGCAATTATCTTATACTTGATTTTATTGGGTGTAGCAACTTAGTAAAGTGGTTAAGTTGTCACATCCCCAAGCGATATGTTGACTAGGTAGAGGGTTCGAAACCTATTAGTGATGAATTTCAAAAATTCTACTTGTATAATGGCTACTGTTATCTATTAATTGGTTGAAATAAGATCCCTATAACTTTGATAGCACCAACAGGATTGAGAAATTATAGGGTATTTGTGTGATATATGAGTAATATGAATAAGCTTCTGGATCATAGTAAACCAGAAAATCAAGAAAGATAATGGAACTCACTTGGCAAGACATGAGTAAAAAAATAGCACAGATCTTTGATGATACTATATAAAGGATTATTACCAAAAAAACTGGCAAAACTGAATAAAACTAAAGTGTTTGGCAAGGCACTTCACCAACCAGGCTATCGAAAGAGTAACTAGAGAAAAAGAACCCAACTATGGGGCCAGAAGCAGGTTATAGCCCTTCCAAACCATCTAGATTAGTAGTTTAAGATTGTTGGAATTAAAATCAGTAATAGTTTATAAAGTGTGTACTAGGGTTTAGATAAACTCTACAAGGGCAGAAGTAGATAATTTGGCTTGCAAGTACTTGTTCTTAAACTTGGCATAAGTTACCAAAGTCTAGATTAGCCAGATTGTGGGTATAGAAAGCTCTAGCAAGTTTATCTCAAAGGTAAATTAGCCCTAGATTGGGTACTTCCTATAGCAAATATTGGTTCCTTATAAGGATATAGCAGTGCAGAGGGTTTAAAGAAGTAATTCTTAGTTGAATTATGGGTATAGCATCTAGTGTAGAACCTTCAAGTGAACTACTTAAATAGACAATCAAAAGTTGTATGTATAGCTAGTTGTACTCTCTAAAACTATATATCAAATGAGTAGCAGCTGACTTTGATCAGCTTAGTATATAAACTAATAAAAACAACCAACTATAAGGTCACTTTGATATTAAAAAAAAAAAAATACTTAATTTTATTTTAGACTATACAAATTTGTATTATTGGTTCTCATAACTGGGCGGGTCATCAGACCTAAGGTAAAAAATTTTTATTTTTAGGTACAGTAAGGAATCGACCAATCAGAATTGACCAAATTTTATTACAAAAAAATTATACTAAAACGTACATCACATGATTTGATTGGGTAATACAATACTTAAATGCGTTAGCTATTATATACATATGACTAACATTCTCAACTTACAATATTTCATTACAAGACTTTTTACTACTATTGCTTTTATCTGTTGGCTTCTATATATATATTTTTCTACTCTTTCAATATTAGTAGTATCGGCAATTATAGCAAATATTAGGATAAATTTTTGCTAAGTAATACAGTTTTTCAATAAAAGAAGCACATGTCCAGGAATCATTTACAAAAATATGAGCAAAAAGTTCCTGAATAGGATCACTAATCACATCTTCACTATTGTCAAGATTTCTAGATTTAACCTTACAATCAGTATCCTGATTATTCTCTTCACCAGATTCGGCAATATCATATTCAAGATCAGAACTCTTTTCATCATCGTTATTTTCAGATTCAATTGGAGACTCTACTATTTCAGGTAATATAGTATTATCATTATCGTCGAGACATTTATTTGTAGATTTTGGTAATGGTATAGCCAAAGTTGATTTGTTGATATTATTAAATAATGTTCTACAAGTATATAAAATTGTATCTAGAAATTGATAAAATATTTGATGATCCTTATTCGATATCTTTTTCGCACTAAACAGAAGTCATGGTTTATCACATTCTGTACTAATAATAGTAATTCTCACATTTTTAGCATATAATGCAGAAAGGCAGAATAGCATTGTGTGCTTTGATCAGTTTTTTTATTTCATTTTTTGTAATTGAAACATTATTTCTTGATATAAAGATCTATATTTTTTAGTTGTTAGGGTACCGTATAACTTTTCAAAAGACTTATAGTAGAAATCATTTCCTGGAATTGGATCAAAGAGGCAATGGAGTTAATTAAATACTTCAAGAGAACACTGGGGCGGTTTGCACATTGAACAATTATCCTTTCTGTATTTTTTATCGTAAAAGAATAATGATGAGTTGTACAACAATGATTGTAAAAGTCTTTCAAGTATTGCTTTAAAAAAAATATATATACAGTCAAATCTTCATAAATGCAATATGTATAGACTAGCCTAAAATATGCATTTAGGAAGGTTTGCATTTAGAGGGAGCCAATCAAATTGCAGCTTTTAATATTTGATCTGCAAACTTGTGTAACAA